TCTGACCCTACCCCCTCTTGGGCTCTCTGTCTCTCATTCTCTCTCTCTCAAATAAATAAATAAAATCTTTAAAAAAAAATAAATAAATCTTTAAAAAAACATAAAATGGGGTTAACAATATACTACTGCCTCATAGGCTTATCATGAGGATGAAGAGAGGTAAGGTATACAGGGCATTTGGTAGAGCTTGGCACATAGGGGGTCTCAAGTAATGGTGGGAACCATTACTGTTTTGTGCTTTGGGTGGTTGTTATTCACAGAATCACGTGGTGGTAAGGAGCACAGGCTCTGGAGCCAGACTGCCTGGATTTGAGCATCAGCTCTGCTACTGAGTAGCTGGGTGAGCTTCAGCGAGTTCTTTAGCCTCTCTGTGCCTCAATCTCGTCATCTGTGAACAGGGATAATCACACTGATCTTAGAGCAAATTGGAGGAGGACTAAATAAATTGATTTATGCAAAATACAACTCTTACAAAATGTTAAATAAGTGTTATTATTATTATTACCTATAGAGGTGGTCAGAGCAAGTGATCCCTGGAAAGAACTTTGGAGATAATAGTAAGAGGAAGCTAGAGCTCAATCAATAAGCATTAGCTGTGTGGGATTGTGAGGGCACTGACTTGTGTAGGGAGGGAGCATGTGGGTTGTTTATTTTATTTTATTTATTAATCATCTGCTTTTGCATGGGCGTTTGTTGGAGGAAAGAGCCCTGGGGGGCTGGGCCTGAGATTGAGACACAGTGGCGTTTTAGAAGCCACAAGCTGGTGGTCTTGGACAAGTTCCTTCCTGTTGAACCTCAGTTTCTTCATCTGTAAGATGGGGATGATGAGAGCATGAACCTCTGGGAGGGGACTGTTGTGAGAAATAAATAAACAGCACGCTTGGAAATCATTTCACTTGGTCCCTTCTAAGTATCCTGGAAATTGTAGTTGCTATTCTAGTGCTGTTACTGTGTGCAGGGTCTGTCCCACGTGGGCAAGGCGATTCAGACCCAGGGTTGCTAACACGACATCATCTGCTCAGCCAAGATCTGCTGAGCTCCTATAAGGCACCAGGCACCCTTCTAGGCACAGGGGATGATGCTGTGAACAAGACACACAAGGGTCCTGCCCTCCTGGAGCTGAATGTGCTGGAAATTCCACTAGTGTCGTCTGTTGGGGGTTCTGAGAAAGGGAAGGAAAAAAGACATGAGCATATGCACCCCCCGTTTGCTGGAAGATGTGTTGGGCTCCGGGGGTATTCATGGAGGGAACTCTGAGACGGGGCTTCCTGGACCTGGAGCCTGAGTGAATGCGGGAGGCCACCAGGATCGGCCCCATGCCCGGAACGAGAGCTCTGGAGCCCTAGAATTGTAGAGAAAACAGTGAGCAAAAATGCGGTCCCGGTCCCGAAAGTCATGCACTTGAGGGAGCCACAGAGGCTCCTCCTTCAGTCCCGATTAGACTCCACCCCACACAGGGTTAGGGCTGGGCCTGCAGGTGAAGGGGTGTGAGGCTGGGCAGGGCCGGGGGCTGGAAATACTTAGAGGAGGAGGGAACGTGGGGTCTTGCTGCCGTGCAAGGGAAGAGCACGGAAGTGGGCAGCCAACCAACGGAGTCTTTGTCACTACCTGGGTGACCTCAGGCTGCTGCCGTTCCCTCTGGATCCCGCCCCCGTTTCCCAACTGCAGGGTGATGTCACCCTCCTCCTGGGCTGTCTGTTCGAGGATGAACGGTAGTCCTTCCCAGGTGAAAGCTCTAAGAGGAAAGCAGCCCAAAGAACACTTGTTCTGGACCCTGGGGCCTACTATTGCCCCCACCCCTGCCCCAACAGGCACAGGAATCCCACAGGGGCTTTCCTTCCCGGGGAGAGCCAGCCTGGCGGCCCCTCTCCCTCCCTGGCTCCTCCTGGGCCTGGCCCCATGTTTTCATGTGGCTAATGACAGCCCGTAGGGTTTACTGACCCCTCTCCAGGTGGCTGGGCCAGCAGGCTGAGCATCTGCCTCCTTCCTCAGCTTCCCAAAACAGAAGGCTGGCCTGACCCAGAAGTGTGCTGAGAATCTGGGGGCGGGTGGACAGCATACAGCAAGCATGTGGGAAGATGACTGGACGAGACCCGGGGGCCCCCAAATACCCCCAAGTGTGGCCCTTGGCAGGTGGCTTCACCTCTCCGAACCATGAGGGTCCAGTGAGGTCATAAATAAAGTGCTGAGCACATGGCCTGGTATACAGTCAGCGCTCAATAAATGTGAGCCATGCCTGTGATTATAAGAGGTAATGCAGCAGAGGGGCCAAGAGCCAGACTGCCTCGGTTCGAATCCCAGCTCTGCCACTTAACCGGGTGTGTAGACTCGGGTGAGTCACATAATCTCACTGAGCCTCAGTTTTCTCAGCAGTACAATGGGGATAATGAAAGCCCCTTCCTTGTAGGGTTGTAGGAGGGATTCCGTGAGTTCAGATACATAAATCCAAAGGGCTTAGAACAGAAGCCGGCACACGGAAAGTGCTGGATAAATGCTAATGATTGCTATTTCTGCTTTCTAGCTGCACCCCTTCCTCTCCTCTCCTGCTGGCTTCGGGGCTGCAAGCATCCTTGAAATGAGAAGGTGGATGAAGGCTCTGTGGGGTTGTGGCAAAGAGACCTAGAGAGGAAGAAGGAGGTTCTTCCAGCTCACACCCATCAGCAGACTCGCCCATAAATAAACACAGCCCCATCCGGGCATAAACACAATCACCGCTCCACCCACTCAAATCCACACACAAACGAACTGGAGTCCCAGGCCAGGTCCCAGGCAGGGCCGGCTTTCTTCTCTGTGGCAGGCAGTGAATCTCCCCACTGGGGCTCCAACCCAGCCGGCCCCGCCCCAGCTGTAATGACAGGGAGAGCCAGGCTTCTGTGTCCAGCCATGACGTCAGCCTGGAGCTTCGAGCCCGATGATCTCACCAGAGTCAAGTGGGGACCCAGTCACTCACTCGGGGTGGGGGAGGGGGGCACCTCAGTCTCCCTATCTGGGCTAGTGGGGGAGGGAGAGTGGGGGTCTCCACCAGTCAGCTCGGCGCGGACCCAGGTGCCCCCCAACCCCAGGCCCTGCCACCCTGGAGCCGTGCCTCTGCTTCCTCACCTGCAAAATGGGGGTGGGGAGAACACCCCTGTTGTTGTTGCTGCGAGGGTTTAACATGAGGGGCAACCCGGGGCTCCCCATGGAGACAGGTCCGTAGGAAGAGGCTGTAAATGCTAGTGGTGGTTGTTCTCCACACTATTATTTTTAGCAAACGGCCTCATGCCCGCACTGCCTAACATCAAACTGATTTCTCAGCCAGTGACTCATTGAATTCCTTAACACCCCACCCCACCCCACCCCACCCTGTGAGGACGGCAGGGCTGAGACCCTGCAGCCCACAGATGGAGAACTGCATGCCCAAATCGCCCACCTGTTGTTGGGGACAGATCAAAGATTGGAACCCAAGCTCAGGGGGCCGTTAGGTCAAAGGACAATTTGTAAGTTCATTCTCCGGAAGCTATGGGGGAGCAACAGGGAAATCTAGCAAGTAGGTCCTCTCTGGGCGACGGGTTCAGGCCAGATCCACTGCACCTACTGATAATTAGCATTATTAGCAGTCATAATCCGAGGACTACTACTACTAATAGAGGCTACCATTGGTTATCACTTCCTAGGGCAGTTTCCTCACAGGATTGTTACTGTGGTTGAAGGCAGTTTAGTATTTGGAAAGCACTTAGAACAGGGCCCAGCATACAGCAAGCTTTACGTAATTGAGAACTCAAAATTGAGTATATAAAAGTGTCAGTCTGCTAAATGTTTAAGGATGATCACCTCATGTGGTCCTCATGGACACAGCCACGAGGTGGCTACTATTATGTCCATTTTACAGGTGGGAAGACTGACGGGCTCACAGATGCCCAGGGAATAATGTTACTGCTCCCAGAGGACGCTGAAGGCAAGCTCCCAGGTCGGGTTGTAAGCGGGGGCAATTGCTGCCCAAGGCCACCTGCTTTCAAATCCACTGGGCTCCCATCCCTCTTCTCTCCTTCGGCAGGTCCCCAAGGCGGGCAGGACGCAGCAGGCTCTGGGGAAGGTATTACTGGGGTGACCGGAGCCCTGGCAGGCGGAGGGTTATTAATAGCCTAGCCGGTCTTTGCACCGGACTTGGGGAGGCGGGCGGGGGAGGGAGCGGCGGGAGGGGGCGGAGCTGAGCCCAGCCGGGGAGGAGAGTGTCCGGACTGGCTGGCTGGACTTGGCCACCAAGGCTCCTCCCCGCCCCCTGGGAGCCCAGCTGTTCCCTCAGCTGATTCTCGGGGACTGGTTCATCACCTCCGAATACTCCTGTGACAGGAGGCACTGGCAAAGCCCGCCCCCAGCCCCAGGCAGCAATAAATAGAAGGCTCTCAGCCCAGGAGAAGCAAGGAGAAGTTTCTAGGCCCGCGTCCCTGGGTTTATTAACCTCCTGACGCTCCTCCATGAGACGTCTCAGCGGCTCTGGCTGAGAGCCTGGACAGCCTGGGAGGACAGTGACTGGCTGATCTCCGGTGAGGCAGTGCGGAGAGGGGCCCTCTGGAATTCTGCTGGGCCGGCAGGTGGTCGCCTTTGGAGTGTCTTTGGGGGCTGGGACCCCAGCCGGGTACCCCCTCTGTCCTTGGCAGTGGATGGTTCAGCGTTTTCTGAAGCTGAAGAATAAGCTCGGAGGGCCAGCGCCCCCACCCCCCCACATCACCTTGCTGTGTGACCTTGGGCAGGTGGCTCCCTCTCTCTGAGCCTCCGTTGCCCCTCCAGCTCAGCAGCCATGGCTGATGGTCAGATGCCCTTCTCCTGCCACTATCCAAGCCGCCTGCGCCGGGACCCCTTCCGGGACTCGTCCCTCCCCTCGCGCCTGCTGGATGATGACTTTGGCATGGACCCCTTCCCCGACGACCTGACGGCCTCATGGCGCAACTGGGCCCTGCCTCGATTCTCCCCGGGGTGGCCTGGGACCCTGAGGTCAGGCATGGTGCCTCGGGGGCCGACGGCTGCAGCCAGGTTTGGGGTACCTGGGGAGGGCAGAAGTCCCCCACCCTTCCCCGGGGAGCCCTGGAAAGTGTGCGTCAACGTGCACAGCTTTAAGCCAGAGGAGCTGATGGTGAAGACGAAAGACGGATACGTGGAAGTGTCTGGTGAGTGAGGGGCAGGAGTGAGAGAGAACCAGGAGAGGAGTGTAGGCCTCAGCCCCGGGAATAGTCAAGAGAACGTCTCTTCCCTTAGAGGGTGAGCTGTGACAGCAGCGTGTGACTCAGGTGACTTCAGGGCTGAGGAATGCAGCCCAGAGAGCCCACAGAAGTTATCTTTCTGGAAAAGCGCTCCTGTCCTGGCTTCCAGGAGACACCTCAACCTGACCCAGCTGGGGGGGCCTTTGGGGGCTGTATCAGTCAGAATAGGGGCTGGGAAATGGAAACCACGGCACACGTTTTGACAGAAAAAAATTTCATGTAAAGAATGAGTTCAACAGACATAGAAGAAATACAAAGACAAGAGATAGGACTCTCGGCGCCCCAGGGACACAGCACAGTCTAGAAGGGTGTGCCATGATAGAGCTAATAATCAGCACAGGTTTCAAGAAGAACACCTCCCCTTGTCCCAGATAAGGAAACTGAGGCATGAGAGTCACTATAACGATTCTAATTGGTAACCTTGATTGAGCGCTTACTCTCTGCTAGGCACCATACTACACGCTTTACCGGTAGCATCTCAGTTAAAACAACTAGAAGAGGTGGGGCCTGTTTGTCTCCTCTTTTTACAGAGGAGGAAACTGAGGCACAGAAAGCTTAAAGTAACATGCCCACAGCTGCCTGGATTCAAACCCAGGCTGTCTTGGGACCTGGGAGGCCAGAAGGGATTTGACGGTTTATTGAGCACCTACTGGGTACCAAGAACTGGGCTAAGACTCTTACATTCCTTCTACCAGATAATCCTCACTCACTCCAGCCCTGGGAAGCGGGGCTGTCTACTCCCATTTTACAGCTGAGGAGGTTGAGGCCCAAGCAGGACTTGTCCAAGGTCACGCCGTGAGTCAGCAGCCAGCAGGAAGAGTTTGGGCCTGCCCAGGACTCCAGGCCCAGGGCTTGCGCCACCTCCCAGCCTGGGCGAAAGGAAGAGGAGACAGGAGCCTCAGTCCCCATTAAGCAGGGCAGCAGGGGAACGGCTTCCTCTGTCTTCCCTCCCAATTAAGGCTGCATTAAAAGGAGTGTGTTCCTGGCAGGCTGCCAGCCAGAAAATCAGTAAAAGCCATTGCAAAGCCAGGCTGGGCAGAGACAAGCCCGGCAGGGCAGGGCGGCGTGTAGGGGGAGTTTCAAAGCCTCGCAGGGCGGAATTATAAACATCAGAGGTTCGGGGGGGGCGGGTAGGTGTCACGAGGCATGTTGGGGCCACGTGCGGATGGAGGTGTTCAGCCGGGCCTTCCCAACTTGGCTGCAGTTGAACCTGGCTCTGCCATGGACCAGCAGGATGTGCAAATTGTTTATGTTCTTTGTGCGTTGTTTCCTTACCTGGAAATGGGGGTTCCAGTGGCTACGCAGCATGAGGATCGCTGTATTACATGGGCCGATGCATGTCCAGTGTAGACCTGCTGCCTGGAACACGAGGGATCAGTATTCCTACGGCTGTGATGTTGCTGTTATTAAAATGCTGGGTACAGAGCAAGGCCCCAGGAGACCGTAAATGGTAGATGCTCTTTGAGACCTGGGTTCCAGTCCCAACCCTGCCAGATGGATAAGGACAAGAAAGTCTTCCCACCACTCAGAGCCTCAGTTTCCTTATCTGCAGAACGGGTTGTGTAATAATATCGGGCCTGCAAGTCTGTAGGGAAGATTAAAAATACATGCAGACAATATATGATAATAAATGCAGAGAGTCTGTAAAATGGGGAGAATGACAGTGTCTGTCCGGCACTCTGTGAATAAGGGGATTATTACCAACACCTCTCCCATCTTTGTTTTAATTGGGATTCCAGAATCTTCCACCCCAGGTTGGAGGGTTTCCCATGCCCTGTGGCCCCTCCAGGAGACCTCTGGAGGATGTTTCCTTCATTCTCCTTTCTAGGTGCTTCTTACTAACTGCGCTGTGGCAACTCCAGGCTGAGATCCCAGATAAGTACCTTACTAATCCAGCGGCTCTGCATGAGGCTTTGAGCGGGTCATGGAGCCTCAGTTTCCATATTTGTAAAATGGGGTTGTTGGGTGCTTAAGTAAGGCAGACAAAGCCTTTTAAAGTTGTAAAAATGCCTCCCAGGTGTGCACTTAGCAACCTCAGCTTGACAGAATCCAAATCCCCTGAGAGTACGTACAGAGACTTTCACAAATGGATTTAAGAAATCAGATTGATATCAGGGCTCCATTTAAAATCAGATCCAGTCTTTTCTCCTCTTATCACATAATGACAGACCTATTCTTCCTCAAGCACCTGGTGCAGGGCACTGTGCTCAATGCCTGTGTATGTTGGCTCCCTGGTTCCTCACATGGACTCTCAAGGAAATATGGGTAGGTTTGTGATACCCACTTTACAAGTGAGGAAGTTGAGGCTCAGAGAGAGTAACTCACCTGAGATCCCCTGTCCTCCATGGCACATATCTGCAATTCAAAGCCAGGCCTGCTTAGATGGTTCCAAGTCAGGATGGCTGGATTTTCTTCTGCTTATACGGCCTTGGGCAAATCCTGCCACCTCTTGGGCCTCAGTTTTCCTTAGGAGGAGTTGAACTCAATCAGTATGTATTTGCCAAATGGTACATTTTAAGATATCAATAGGTATCTAAGAAATGCAGGATAGGTGGCCCAGAATTTTAAAGATGTGCCAGAGGAAACAAAATTATAAACAGGTCTCCTCACTGCAGGACTTATCAGAGCTTTGAATTTGCTTAGGTAATTTATGGATCTCTGGAGGCAGCCCTGTCTTATCTGACCACATCTGAGTGTCTAGTTCCAGGGAAGTATTTGGAAAATGCTAGACTAGATGCTTTCCATGATGCCTTATCCACCCCTACTCCTACCCTGCAGCCACCAGCCAAGAAATATTCTCTTCATGGGCCACTGGGCCAGGACCTGGCCAAGAAGGAACTGGAAAATCCAGAGGCCTTATTCCCACCCCTTCTCCTTAATCCCAGGGCCTCCGCCTCCCCTGGAAACAGCACCTTCTTTCTTTAGCTGGACCAATGCCTTTCCCCGAAGTGCTGATGCCTGCTTCTTGGCACCTACGTTTCTCTGAGGCATGTTGAAAAAATAGTAGCTGTGAGGGGCCTCTGGCTTGCCCTGGCCTCCGGATGAGTTCTTTTTTTAAAAAAAGAATCATAATTACTTTTTTTCTGTTTACAAAAATAAAATATTTCCACGGTAGAAAATGTAGATAGGAAAGCAAAATCAGAAATTAAAAATCACTCATAATCCTTAAGCTGCCCTAATAAATAGGTATTCAAATTATATGCAAATTAAGCTTCAACATGAACCTCCGGTAGCAACATCTATTTTCAACCAGGCTTCTCTTTATGGAAATCTTGGAGCTGTGCCTGCTCAGAGATCTTCCCCTCCCTAACCCCAATACCCTATTTTCAGGGTGTGGACAGGCAAGCTTAGCCTTTCAGGAGCGGTCCTTTCCCGGACATCAAAATAAGCCACAAACCTTCACCCTCACACAACATTTTTACAACTTACAAAGCAATCCTGTGACTCATTCTCATTTGCTCAGCAACCCAATAATTAGGAAGGTGTTGCCATCCCCATTTTAGAGAAGAGTAAACTGAGGCTCAGAGAAGAATGGGGTTGTGCTAAGAAGTGTTAGAGCAGGGACTGAAAGTCCAAAACCTACATCCCTTTGCTCCAGCATTTCCAAGCTGTGTGACCCTGGGCGTATCACTTAACCTCTCTGAACTTCCGTTCCCCATCCACAAAATGGTAATAATGAAAGTCCCCGCTTTCTAAGGTTGTCATGAAAATTAAAGAAATAGCTGTAGCCAGGGGCTAGGAGGGTGGCTGACACCAAGTGAGCGCTATGTAAGAGTCTGTTATTGCTATTGTTTTCATCATCATTGTTTATTATTCTCAGGACACCAAGTGTGCAAAAGGGCTGAGTCAGAGGCACTGGCCAGTCCCCAGGGGAAGCAGGCCTCCAGAGGCCTGGGCTCTGGGGAGGGTTTCAGGGAACAGACAGTGTTCCCCTGGCCACAGGCCTGGGTTAGGGCTGGACAGTTGGTACTCATGGACTTGGCAGGTCCAAATCTACTCTCCCAGCACCTTCAGAGCATAGCGTGTTCTGGGTAACCAGACACTCCGGTTTAAAAACGAATTCCTATCCGGTACCACTTTCTGCCCCCCTTGTGAGTGAATAAACGGATGCAGCCTTTCCTAAGGGCCATTTAACAATACAGATCAAGCCTCAGAAATCCTAGAACTTAGAATTTATCCTAAAGAAGTCATCAGGCTGGATGCGAAGATCCAGCTGTAAGGGTGGTCAGTGCAATGTGGTGCGATAGGTTCTTTCTAAGGTCACATATCTGTCTCAGTGCCCAAAAGCCAGGGAGTGACTAAATGAACTTATGTATCCCTACAGAGGAATGTTGTGCAACCATTAAAAAGTCACGTGGTGGAAGAATATTTGGTGTAACATGGAAAAATATCATGTGTTAGCAAGAGATAGCAGTTTTGAGCATAACATAAAATATGATCCTATTTGCTAAAATACATGATATACCTCTATGCCATATAACATTTATGCGTGCCTAAGTAACATAGAAAGAAAAGTCTGGAACTTATACAAAAATGTGGTTTCGTCGGGGGGTTTCAATCATTTCTTTATTTTCTACATTTTCTAGAATACCCTTGTATTATCTTACAATCAGAACAAAGTCATTAATAAAGAAAGTATGAATAATTTTAAAAAGCAATTAATAAGGTAATCACCTATAAATTGTCAGTTTTTAAAAAACCAGGGCTGCAAAAAAAAAATCCCACAGGGTTATTTACAGTCTGGATTCCAAAGCTTCTCAGAAGGGTGTCGCTGTGCACATGAGGGTTCTTGGCCGGGAAATGTGGCCCCACAGATGAGGAACAAATAAAAGATAAGAGCTAGAAAGCTCCACTGGGCACTAATCTGGTTTGTGTCAAGAGAAATTAGAGAGGCGCCGGGGTGACTCAGTCGTTAAGCGTCTGCCTTCGGCTCAGGTCATGATCCCGGGATCCTGGGATGGAGCCCCGCATCGGGCTCCCTGCTCAGCGGGGAGTCTGCTTCTCCCTCTGCCCCTGCCCCCAGCTTCTGCTTACTCTATATCAAATAAATAAACAAAATCTTAAAAAAGAGAGAGAAATTAGAGGCTTTCCCCATTAAAAAAAAAAAAAAAAGACTGAAGAGTTGCCAGGAGGCTCAGAAGTTGCTATAAAAATTGCAAGGTGATAGCCAGTTTGGGCCCAAACCTTCATGTAATCTTACCTTTTTCCTTCCCGAGGAAGAAGAACTGCCCTCCCCTGCTACCCCGTGGAAGGCGGGGCAGGTAGAATTTCAAATCTGTGATGTCTGATGTGTCATTTCTTAAGGAGACTCTGGGTGTTTTTGTTTTGTTTTGTTTTTTAGCAGATTGAAGCATTATTTCCAGGCAATTCATCCGTTTTAGGTACAGATAATGTGGCTCAAAGAGCTCATTGCAAGCTGGAACAGGAAGAGGGGCGTGAGACCCCAGCACTTGGCGTAGATTCAGGGAGAGCTGGTTCAGAGCCCAGGCCTGCCGTGCACCTGCTGGGTGACTGTGGACCCATCACTGGGCCTCAGTTCCTGCCTCCGTCACCAAGGGGGAAGGAAGCCCACCTTCAGAGCCAGGAAAGGCTCTGTGCGTTGTAAAGCCCACTGGGTGGCAAGCCAGCCCTCAGCATGTGACCCCACTTCTTTCCTACCACCCCTTCTGGGATGCTAGCCTCCGGGTTTGACGGGCTGGCTAGAGGGGAAGGGCTGAGGTTGCTCAGACAACTGGTGTCTCCAGACTGAGCCCAGAGCCAAAGGGTGGGGAAGGGGCAGGGGCTGGGGCAGGATTCGAACCCAAGCCCGAGTCCTAACTGAAGTCCAGGGGCATAGATGCTTACATGTGGCATTCCGCTCCCTTCTAGGCAAACATGAAGAGAAGCAGCAAGAAGGTGGCATCGTTTCCAAGAACTTCACAAAGAAAATCCAGTAAGTCCCCTGGCGGTGTGTTTTCCAGGGTGGGGGCGGAGCAGCGGGTAGTGTCTGGGACCCGAGATCTGGTGTGTCTCCCTCTTGGGCATCTCTCTTTCAAGACAAGCCCCAGGGCGGGGAATTGAACCCTCACCGCTCATCCCTCACACCTAAAGGGGAGAAGGTGTCACAGCAAACCTGTGATTCCGTGAAAATCGGGGCACCCTCCGACCCACGTGGTATGTCTGGGGAGTATCTCCATCACCATCAAGAGGGCCTGTCCCCTGATGCCCAAATGCCCAGTAGAATCTTGCGAAAGTTGCTTGCTCTGAGTGTCCCACCACCACCCGGAGAGCATGCCGCCTTCCCTAGAGCATGAAGCTGGAAGGTGTCCCGACATTGCTGTTTCCTCCCGGGGGGGGCTTTGGAGGCTGAGACTTTGGGACACGTGAAGGGCAGGTTTTGCTGAGGGGTGTGGGAAGGGCTGAGCCTGGGGGAATCATGCCAGCACCAGGAAGACCACCAGGCTGGGCCAGTGAATCAAAGCCAACCGTAGGGAGGGAGCCTGCGGCAAGGTGCCGAAGAGAGACACCTCTTCCCACGCACACCCTCTAGGCAGCAGCACCCGCCACGTACACTTCTGGCCCCAAAGTCTTGTCCCAGTCAGTGCAGTTAATCTCTGCTGCGGGCAGAAGAGACATTACCCTCCTTGTATGATGGGGAAACTGAGTTCCCAGAGGTGAAGAGACCTGCCCAGAGTCCTTACGATTTGAATTTAGAACAGCCCCCAACCGATCCCTGAACCCTGAGTGCCACGCTCATGTCTGGAGCAAGGGATGCCCCTTCCTTACCCGTAAAAGGGATCGGGTGGGTGCTGATTCCAGAGTCACAGCCACCAGCGCACAGTAGGTCCCCAGAAGTGGCAGTTTGTTGTGACTATTACTGGTGGTGGTGTTGAGTCTTTACTCCATGCCTGGCCCTGGCAGAAATGTCCCGGGGCTGGAAGCGAGTGTGCTGGCTGCATTGAGGCTTCTTTCAGCTTTGGGATTCGGCAGGCCTGTCTCTCCTGCCATGTGCCCAGTCCTGACCCGCCCAGCGCCCCTGGAGTTCTTAGAAGCCCATGGACGCTTCCTGATAAGGCAAACGGCTGTTTTTCTTCACGCTCGCTGGCTCGCCTGCCATCCCCAAAACCCACACCTCTCCCTGGTATAGCAGCCACATGAAACGCTGCTCAGAGGGAGAGGGGAAAGGAAAGGGGGTGGGGGGAAAGGTGCAGGGGGAGCTGATGTTTCTTGGAAGACACTCAAATAAGATCTCAGGATGGAGTCACAGGCAAGGCAACGCTGGGGAAGGGACTGAGCTGGAAAGAAGTCAGGGGGTTAATCATCTTTATAAAATGTGGATTTCCCCATCTCCGAGGCCTCCGAGAAACAGCTTGCTGGGGTGACTTGACCAGACAGAAATGCCTAAAGCTGCTCAAGGCACAGCTGGGGTCCAGCAGCTGAGCAGAGCTACTTGTTACAATATTGGACTAGCCATTGTCCTGAGCCCCCCAAGTGCCCTCCCTAGCCAGCCTGGCCACCCTGACCCTATCCGCAGGACCCTCCGAGCTTCCCCCACATTCCAGAAACAAAGGGTCTCCAGCACCCTCCTCCATCACTGTGGCACGTATCCATCCATTCTGGTGGGTCATTGTCCCACTGGGCCAGTTGCTAAGTATTTTGAAGCTCCTCTGGACGTAGGGAGTCCTGGTTCCATGATAAAGAAAGTGGATAACTTGGAACAGCTCCCTGAACTATCCTGAGCTTCTGTCCCCACATTCCCTCAAGGACAGAGCTGTGATGGGGGATGAGAGGAAGCGTGTAAAGCATTTAGCATGGGGTCCAGACTCAGTGTTCAGTCCATGGGGATTAATATTATTTAAAAACTCTGCAAGGCTGGAGTCACACGAGAGCAGCTGGAACCTCCTGGGACGCCCTGGCTCTGCCCAGACTCTAGACACCAAGAATGGCCCTGGCCCACTCTCAGGAGACTCCATTGCCTCTCCCAGGAAAAGCTCCGGTCATCAGAGGACAGGGAAGCTCCTTCAGCCAGACTGAGATCCTTGGAGATTTCCTCCCAGGCAGGATTCTACAGCCTTTGCCACGGCTAGGAAATTCTTCCCAACACATCCATCCCCATGTGAAAGGCGCCATTTTGACTGGGTGAGGGGGAGAAGGAGAGGTCTTGGAATTTGCTGATCAGGTTGGGGGGCAGGGCAAGACTGTAGATGGGATCTTTCCACACCCAACTTGGGTGGGAGGACAGGAAGCAGGGGACTCAGGAAATCATCAATGGAAGATGCTCAGAGTCAAAGCAAACTTTAGTTCCTTGCTCCATCTCTTCCCAGGTATCCGCTCTGCCTTTATTGACATCTGCAGTGTGTCAAGAGCCATGTGACGAGGGGGTTAGGTTTAATATTATTTCGCCTTTAAAAGAATCCTATGAAGTAGGTATTATTAAGCCCATCTTCTGCATGAGAAAACTGAAATTCAGAGGGATTTTGGAATCCCACAAAGGTCACACAGCTAGTAATGAGCCAGATCTGGGATTTGAACACAGGTCTCCCCACCTTCAAAGCCCATGGCCTTCCTACCTGGTTAGGTGAGACCCCATTGCAGTCATTCACAGACCATCGTCAAATACTTTTTGCCTTATGTGCTTATATTCCCATATTATTATTTGCTTAAGATTTCTTTTCCTTTTGATCAGGTCACTTTTGCAAAAGTTAAATTCCTACTAAAACGTTCACTGAAGAGGGCAATCGTAAAACAAATCCAATGAAAGAAAAATGCGGTTGAATAGGTAGCACTGTCTGCCTAAGGGTCCAAGCCTTAGATCAGCTCTCTATTTGTTAAAAACAGAAAATAGCAAGGGATAGAGGCTAAAGGTGTTTAGGTCATGTTAACACTTAGCTGAGACCTTCGTTTGGATGCAAATGGAGGGATTGAAAGAGAATACAAGAGGAATAGTTTTCCTATAGCCAGTGACTGCATAACGACTAACACTTACTGAGCACTTACTGTATGCCAGGCACTGGGCTAAGCCTTTTGCTTTCATTATCCCGTGTAATTCTCGCACTACCTTAAGAGGTAGAAACCAACTGTTAACCCACGTTTCCTATAAGGAGGTAGGTTCAGAGAGCCTAGCTCACTAGCCCGAAGTCACACAGTCAGGAAGAATCAGAATTCGAACTCAGCTCTGCCTGCCTGCAAAGGCCATGCTCTGGATCGCGGCGGCCCTGCCCCATTTCATCAGGTGTGCTATGGGTTAGCATGCAAATAGTTAAACAGAGTTGGCCCATCCCCAGTAGTGGGAGGGAGGTCCAGACTTTTGGCCTCCTCTGTGCTTCAGAAGTTTGACTTGGCCACTGCCCAAGTTCCCTCTTTCTCTTCCCTCCTTCCCAGCAGGTCCCTTGTTAATCTCTGTGGCTCTAATTTAGCAGGAGTCTCCTGGGTAGATGAGGCTCATGTGGTTACATGTTGCTACTCACAGCAAAAACTCCCCACCCCCTTCAGGAAGGATCCTGCCCTGGCCAGGAATGGGTCTGCCTCCTTGCCTGGTTCTTTCATCAAAACCTCTGCATTTCTAACAAGCAGGGCCATCCTGGACCAGTGGAAAGATCTATGCTGATCAACCCTCCTGGCTTCCTTTTTTTTTTCAAAAGTCTGGTGCCGGGGGAGGCAATAGGACATCATGATCAGCTGCTCTGACTTTGGAGGCCAAGATTCCAATTCCATTCCCATCTGCTTCTTTCCAGCAGTGTGACCTTGGGCAAGTCACTTCACCTCTCTGGCCTCAATTTCCTTGTCTGTAAATGGGGACAGTAACAGAACTTGCCTGGTGGGATCATTGTCAACAACTAGAGGAGATGACACACAGGTGAACTACCTGGCACATAGAAAGTACTCAGAAGGTCATAGTTTTCATAATCTTTATTAATAATGGCATCCCAATGAGGCCATGAACATGTTCTCACAATTCTGGTAATTAGTTGAAGGAAGCATGTTCCAGATTGTCTCTTTCACCCAAAACAATCAAAAAATCATAAAAAAAAAAAAATAGCTTCAGAACTGGAACCAGAGTTGGATTCAGAAATCCCTTTGAGGTTCTCACTCACTGAGCCTGCCACTTGATTTCCCCAAGTCTCTGCTAAATGTTCTGTGCAATGGGCATATTAATTCCTACCTATGAACCACTCTGGGCTTTTTTTTTTTTTTTTAAAGATTTTATTTATTTATTTGACAGAGAGAGACACAGCGAGAGAGGGAACACAAGCAGGGGGAGTGGGAGAGG